ACTGTACCTTGCTGCTACCTAGTTTTTTCAGGCTGCTGGTGTCCTTGGACAAGTGCTGTCAGGTGGCCTGTGCTGCTCTTTACCGTGAGAGATGTCTGCTTGAAATGGGGCTGCAGCTGGTCATCGTGCCTGTGGGCTGGAGCTGTGTTCCAGCCCGGGTCTCCCGAGGTGGGAGGTTCGTGGTCAAATGGGACATGCCTGAGTTTCAGCCCAATGCAGTAACCCCTCTTGTGTAGCTTAACTAGGAGCCCTTTCAGGCCCATTCAGGCTTCCAGCCTGGGAGCCAAATATAAGTTACGAGACTAGTTTGGATATAGCTGCCTCTTGCCAGCATTTAGCACGCCAAACCTTTTTCATCTTGTGAAGTTTTGTACCCAGCGAAGGCAAGAGAGCTGCTTTTCCCCAAAACCTGCCAACTGGAAGTGTTTGGAATAAGGGAGCAGGTCGAAACGCAGACCACAGCCTGGTCCTGCAGTGTGCCACCACCCACCTGATTCCAAAGCAGGTGAGACCCGCAGACTACAGGGCCCAGCATCCTCTGCTTCGTTATGCGCATCCTCTAATCAACGACGGAGAACTGCCTGCTGGGGCCAGTAGTCCTAGGCCTTGTTTCCTAGGCTTGCCTGGGAACGGGGGTAAGTGAAAAGCTAGTCATGCTGGAAGGTTATTAGCGTGCTTGCCTGGACTAGGTGTGCCTAGAACTTCCCTGGTGTGATTTAGTAAGGAATAAGATACTTGCAAAATAATCTTAAGTCTCCTGTAGCTGCTGTCCTTATAACAGTAAGAGCAGTCCAAGGTGTCCCAGCAGGAACTGCAACAGGCAGCTGATGTCTGACAGCATCGCAGGGCAGGATTTGAGACATGTTTCAGCTGGACGGGGCCTGCACAGCTAAGGGTCCAAACAAGCACAAGGAAGCACTGTGACCTCTGCTTCTTTAATAGCTTTAAACTAAAGGGGGGTAGATTTAGACTGGATATAAGGAAGAAATGTTTTACGCTGAGGGTGGTGAGACACTGGCCCAGGTTGCCCAGAGAGGTGGTGGATGCCCCATCCCTGGAAACATTCAAGGTCGGGTTGGACGGGGCTCTGAGCAACCTGATCTAGTTGAAGATGTCCCTGCCCACGGCAGGGGGGTTGGCCTAGATGACCTTTAGAGGTCACTTCCAACCCAAACTATTCTGTGATTCTATGATTCTTTCCCTGAAAGCGCAGAAATATAAAGGGGAAGCTACAAATCAGGTTTCCTTGGCGTGTTTGCCCGTATGACCTAAGCCTTCTGCACCCTCGCGCAGCACTCTTCAGGGCAGAAGTGATTTGAAATGGTTCTGGGGTGGGAATTGTGGTTGTCCAACAAATGGGGCTGTTTGGGCTTCCCCCTTGCCTCCAGTGGAGGTGAGGAAGGATCTGTGGGTGTACGTGGAGCTGGAATCAGCTGGGCTGGTTTCTTCTGTTGGACTTGGCGCTGGCCGGCCAGGAAAGCCCTGTCTCTGCATCCTGCCTGGCAGACCTCTGAGCATGTTTTGTCAGGGCTCTCCTTCCCTGGCTCGGACAAACGCAGCAGCAAGCAGCGCTTCCTGAAGCAGGCGCTGAGTTGGGGCCATGGGGAGAAGAGCGGGGTGCTCTCGGTGCTCTGGCACCCAGAGATGAGCGCCCCGCCACTGTTTGTGCGTGCTGTGCTGCCTGTGGGAGTTCATCAAGGTCTCCCATGGGTTAACAGGAGCTGAGACCTACTGGAGCTGGTTGTGCAGCTTCCTGCCCCCCAAAGGTGGGGCCAGCACGGCTCCGCCTGCCCATGCTGAGAGCCCAAGGCACCCAAACAGGGTCCTCAGCTAACAGCAGCATACCTGTTCCATCCTTTCTTGCCATGGGCATCTTGCGGTGCGGCTGTGCCAGGACCATCCGCCTCCATCCTTCCCAAGCAGCTCTTTTGCACCGTTTCAGACCACCAGCACAGAGGTGAGATGTGAGGCTTTGCGGTGGGGAGAGGGTTGCAGATGTGGGGAGAGGCTCCGCTCCTCCCGGGAGCCAGAAGCCTGGCCCAGCCCCGGTGAGCTGTTAGATTTCAGTGGAAGCACGGGGTGCCGGGGCGATGCTCCCAGAAGCCTGCCGAGCCGGTGCTGGGGCCGACCTGCTGGGACATGTGCCTGCCTCGGGGGGGCTGCGCTCGAAACGGGCCTTTCCCGAAACGCTGGGGCTTTTCAGCAAACACTGAGCATGAGGCTGGCTTGTGCGGCTGTGTCCTTAAATCCTGTACGGGGCAGGCCCCCCCTCCCCTGCACTGTGCCCTCCGTTTAAAACTGAGCACCATGCAGTGTTAACTGATTCAGTGATTTTTTTTTTTTTTTTTTAAGGGAAAGTGCTTTATAAGGTGGGCTCACCCTTCGATATAACACGGCCAGGTACTCTTCTCCCAGTAATACCTCTACATCTCTAACTTCAAGCTCTGGTGTATCTAGTCGAAAGAGCCGGTCTGGGTTTAAAGGCAGAGTGACTGAGGGTTTGGGAGTTTCAGCTCCTGGATTTGAGCTGGGAGCAGTAGCATGCATGGCCCTAGCACCCCACAGCTGTTCCCAGCCAGTGCGTTGGCGTGCACGCTCTGGCCTTAGCAGTGTGAAATTCAGAGTCCCCCAGGAATATGTCGCTTGGCTTCTGCGGGTGGCACCTCCTTTTTTTTTTTTTTTTTAATCCATCGTTGTGCGTTTACACAAGTGTGTCCGTAAAAACCTGTAAGTAAAACTAGTTTTACCTTTGTATTGTTAAAAACAGTGAAAGAAAGTACACCTGCTTGCTATCCCTGTTAGTGGGTGGCTTAAGCCAAAGGACTGCAAACCCCAAACCCTTTTCCAGACTGTTTAATCATCGGGGCCGTTGGAACAGGCCCTTGGAGAGCATTGGTTTCAGGGCTGTTTCTGAGATGCCCCATTCAGGAGCAGCCTGTTGTTTCTGCCTTGCAGATGAGGTGTTTGTGCCCCTATTGTGTTCAGGTTTCTGGGGGGGGTTGGAAAACCAAGCAAAGTTAATGAGGTGTTAACAGCAGGGAGGGGTAAGCTTCTCTGTCTTGATGGCAGGGAAACTACTTGGGAATTGATCAGCCTTCCTGAAAGTGTGGGGCTAAACATGTATGTTACAGCAGGGGAAAAAAGTCCCTTTTCGAAATGAGTGTCCCCACATGCTCCTGCACTGGTTGAACTAATTAGTTTAAAAAGTATCTTTAAAGCGGTGCATCTGTATGAGGAAGCCGTTTCTCTTTCACCGGAACTGATTAAATAGATAAGGCTAAAAAGAAGAGAGGGACAAGCGAAGCAATGTCGTGATCAGACCGATGGATGGCTAATGCCAGGCTGTAACTCACTGGGGAATATCCCGGGCCTGTCTGATCCAGCTTTGTAGTGTGTGACGGGCTGGGGGAGCAGGCAGGCCGGGGGTTAATGGGAAGGTGAGCGAGGCCGGGCAGGGCTGGGGCTGGTTGCTCGGGGCAAAATAAACCCTTGCCCACTCAAGGGCTTTCGCCCTCACCGAAAGTTGGGCTTGTACCTCCGGGGACTTCATGGGGTCAGAGCAAGCCCTGCCTTAACCCTGGCTGGCTGGGTGAGGAAGACAGAAGTGAGCGGAGAATGGCTTTGGGTGAAGTCCAAATCGGTGCTGAACTCCGGGGAGGAGACCTGCAGCTTGCTGCCACAGGGAGGGGAGGCCGAGGTGCGTGCCCTCGCTTGGGAAAAGGCACTCTTGTCTTTTCCAGGAGACCCTAAAAGAAGGAAGAAATGCGCTATCAAATGTGCTCCGCTTCAGGCAGCGGGAGGTGTGCCATGGCAGGAGGTCGTGCAGGGACTGTGGCGCACGGACATGCACGCCGGTCACCTCACCGGCGATGGTGAATTTCAGCCTCGCGGTCCGTGGCTGGGACTGGTGTTGTTGCTGGGGATGTGACCCCGCTACCAGTGCTGCGATGCCGCTGCGCCTCCCTGCTGCAGGCAGGCGCCGGTTTCCAGGCCCAGATGTGACAGTAGCTGCTGCGTCACCTCCTGCCCCATCCTGTCCCTGGCTGGCTGCTGGCACACGTTGGTGTGAACGCTTTATAATGGGAGCATCCCTAGTTGGGGGAAGTCAGCTTGGCTAATTCAGACCAGGTTGACTTTTATCTGAGGGGATTTAGGGACCATTCCCACGAACAGCTCTGCCAGAGCACGGCCGATCTCTGGAGGGGTGGCTAACAGCTGGGGACAGTAATTTCTTCCAGATCTAGCAATGCTAGAAGAGGATGCCTGTCAGGAATCCCAGTACAGATGTACTTATGAGACCCTCTAAGAAAAGGGTTACTTCCCCCCCCGCCCCCGCTACTCCCACACACACAAACAAGGGAATAAATCAACTTTTGTGTACAAGCATAGCCAAAGATGAAAACTTGAAATTGTCTTCAGCATAAAACAAACCCTTCCTTTATCAGTTGGTGTTCTGGCAGGGATTTAAATTCACATGTGCCTTTACCTCTAGCACAGTGAAATACTGATGCACCTGTAAAAATGATGTAAAAATGTAAAACTGATTCTTTTTCCTTTGCCCCAGTTATACTGAGCTATCTCCCCTCCTCCCGTGTTTCTGTCTTAGCGCTCATTAGGAGTGAATGATCTGTCTCCCCTGCAGCCCAACTTGCACAAATCTGTTGGTTGTAGGAGGAGCAAATCTGATGTCTCAGTGGTGAGTTTTGGATCCAGGACAGACATTGCCTAAATAGATCTTCCCTGGCATGTCTCTCTTGAAAACTGATACCAACAGTGCTTTCTGAGCAAGAGACTTAGTGGATAATATAACTCTGTAATATAGGGTCTCTTCTCTCTGAGAGTAGAAGCGTGTGGGCTTCCTAGTGACCGCCTGCTGCAGGGCAAGGGCTCCCCCAGAGGCCCTGGCTGAGCTGTGCTAGGTTGAGATGAGGCTCTGGGACGCGAGCTGGCTGTTCCTCCTGGCCCATAACTCTTACCTTCCTGGTCTGTTTTCTCCTCAGCGTGGCACGATGAGGCGGCGTTATGAGGACGATGGCATCTCCGACGATGAAATTGAAGGGAAGAGGACATTTGACCTCGAGGAAAAGCTGTCCACCAACAAGTTTAACTCCACCTTCGTGGTCTTCATGGAAGGCAAAGGTTTGTGTTGGGACTGCTGTGCTGTAGTGTGTGCTACTGCCGGCAGTAACCAGACAGCTGCTGTGGTTGGCTGCTTCTCCAGTGAGGCATGGTGTGTGAGATGACCTTTCCCCGAGCCTTTCGTAGAAAGCTAACAGTGATCACCGTTGGCTATGCTCTTGTACATCTGACTACACCCAAAGCCTCCCCGACTGCCAGCTTGAAGGGCGGTTACAAGGCAGTGTGGTGTTAATGAAATCCTTTCCTGCTGTCCTGCGTTTTGCTGCCTTTTACTTTCCATCCTTCTCTAAAGTTGGGAAAACTGTGTGCTATTCACAGCAGTTCTGTGCTTCCCTCTGCTGTAAACGGCTTTACTTGCATAACCCAAGGGGTGCAGAGCAGGCGGGGGACACTTCTGCCTGCTCCCTTGCAAGTCCTGCGGCAGGCCCCAAGCAGTTTGAAGGCGATGTGAGGCATATTGGTGGAGGATTGGTTCAAGCCTGCTAAGCCCTTGGGCCGGGGGAGCTAGTAACAGGGAGCGTGTGTGGGAAATGGCGTGGAAGCCGCTCGGTCTGGAGAGCGATGAGCCAGTCTGCAGTGCTGCAGGCTTGCTGGGACACATGGCAGCCAGGAACAAGAGGGTTTGCCTGGGTCAGCACCTGTAATTGCAGCCACATGTCTACTAGATGCTTAATTCAAAGACTATGTGGGATCTCTCCCCTTTCTTTCACCACGCATATGGCTCAGTGGGATGTCTTTTCATCGCACAGCTGGTGCAAGCATCATGAGGATTTACCATGAGGGAGGAGCATTTCTTCAAGGCATTGCTTGCTTGGCTGTGAGCTTCTTAGGGAATTGTGGACCAAAACCTGTGCTGTTCCCCTGTCTGGTGCAGCCTGTTGGAGGAAACTCCCCCCTCCCTGGGGGGCCTGTCTGAGGCTTGTCAAGCAGCACACACCATGCTGCTCACAGACCTGCTGCAAAGGAGTTCCAGGATCTCTGAAGGGGTGCAGAAATAGTGAGGAACAGCGCTTTCTTTTGCTGGCTAGCCTTGCCACAGAGATAGGAGGAGGTTCTCGGGTCTCAACTGGACGGGACCCTGAACAACCTGATCTGAGTCTGAAGTCAGTCTGCTGGGAGTGGGGTTGGACTAGAGATCTCCAGAGATCCTTTCTAACCTCAGTTTGTCTCTAGTCCTCTGAAGGAGTCTCCCCTAACACCTTCCCTCGTTTTCTCCCCACACCAGACTTCACAGTTGAATACATCCAGCGGGGTGGCCTGAGAGACCCTCTCATCTTCAGGAGCTCTGATGGCCTGGGAATAAAGTAAGTGTCAGGGGCCCAGAGTGGTGGATGACTCTGGCCTGGTTTCTTGCCTCTCTCCACACTGTGTGGGATCTGATCCTGGTAGCTGGATCCATGCTCTGACAAGTTGGTATGACTGTGTCCTGTCCACGGTGTTCTTAACATGCAGTGAGCAGAGAGAAGTATCTTACACACCAGTTATCCTGTTCTTGCTAGTCTGTTTGGACCTAAAATGTGAGGACTGGATTGGCTGTAGGTGATCACAATTCAACCAAATGTCTGGAAAGTCCCGCTGCTGCTCTGATGCAACATCTGGCTGGGTTTCTTTCCTAGTAATACAGGTATCTATTGCCAGAGTGTCAAGCAATTTGTAGTACTTCTGGCATTTTCCAGAATTCCAACCTGATTTGCCCAACACGGTTACTTCTAAACTGCCGTCTCTCTCTCTTGCTACAGTAAGTCAGTTAAGGTTTACAGCTTTGAGTGTAAAGCTGTACTGATGCAAGACTTTGTGCTGTTTTATGATGTTCATATAAATACGCTATGGGGTGGTAGATGTCTTTTACAAAATTAAAGAAACCTGATCTGATCCAGTGTTTCTGCTAGGTCAGCGTTTTTTGGTTTCGATTAATACGAAAGTTAGAGGAATAAGTTAGCCCTAGCAAACTTTGTCAGAGCCAGTATCAGCAACGCTGCTCTTAACTTCCTCAACTGGCTGTGAACAGATGGGCAACACCTCATCCAGTGCACGATGTACTGTACTGTGGTGAATTAGATAGGAAATTGTGCCGGGCTCGGTTTTAACTGCTGGGTGACTTGGGAGGGCACAGATTTGATACTGAGGATTACAGTGTGGGCGAAACTGGATTTCTCCTGAGTTTTTGGTTATTTCTCTGGGTCAAGAGCTGCTTGAATGGCTGCTCGCCCATTCTGCCTGTGACAGCAGTGTTTGTACAGATAAGTATGCCAGTACAAACAGTTAGAGTAGTTACGCTGTGTCAGTGAAATATACTGCTTATACTGGTCTGGCTATGTCCTTTATACTGGGATAACTCATACGAGCAGTCTTTAAAATGAGAGCTAGTATTGCTTAGCTCAAGGCCTGCTTGCTCATCTGCCAGAAGCCGCTGTACAACAGCTCATGCTCTGGAGGTGGTATATCCTATTCCCAAATCTGCTTCCCTAGCCAGAAGTTGGGCCCGGTGTTTTGCCCCAGCACTCAGCCCAGAGCTGTGCCCCCAGAGATCTAGTTGCATGGTTTTCACCCACATCCAAGAGGCAAAAAGCAGCACAGTAGTATCTTCAGGGTGCCAATGCTGGGGTTACAGGTGGGAAGGGTCTGCAACCAGAAGCACTTCATGATTTTTTTAGCAAGGTGTTTGTCCTGCAGGATGCCAGATCCGGACTTCAGCGTGAATGATGTGCGGCTGTGTGTCGGTAAGTGTGCGGGGACCACAGAGTGCCCCTGCTGCACCCTGGGCAGATAGGGAGGAATGGGGAGAGTCATCAGGTTTATCAAAGCTAGAGGTCTGGTTTTGTGGCTCCCCCAGTGTGCAGCTGGTTGAACCTGAGCCGTCCTTTGCCAGTGGATCACAACTCTTACCTGCTTGAGGAGTCTAGTTTGACCTGAAGCAGCTTCTGTTTCAATGTGGGTATGGAAGAAGGTGAAGTTATGGGAGAGGCCAAGACATCGCACATGTGTGTGGGTGGGTTCTTTGAGGAAGGCTTCCATGTCTCCTGGAGTGTCTCTTCTGGGTGGTCCACTGTACACAGGGACGGTTCCAGTGACGTCTGTCTGTTCTGGCAGGGAGCCGACGGATGGTGGATGTCATGGATGTGAACACGCAGAGGGATATTGAGATGTCCATGGCACAGTGGGCACGCTACTACGAAACACCGGAGGCCGAGCGGGAGAAACTTTACAATGTCATCAGCCTGGAGTTCAGCCACACCAAACTGGAGAACCTGGTGCAGAGACCTGCTACGGTGAGTGTGGTTCTTCCTTCCACAGGAATATCCTTTCACTTGTGCTTGTGGTCCTCTGTAGGCAAGGTGCAGCCTGGCACTTGAATGCAGGAGGAGAGGGGCTGCTCGTAACATGCATGGGCTCGGCCAGGGATGTCACTGCTGTGCTCTGGAAGCTGCTGGAGCGCATCCTGTGTTTGACTCGGACCTCATCTGCTATAGCTGATCTCACAGTCAGGCTGGGGCTGCCCAGCCTGTGCATCCCTCGGCTGTAGTGACCACAGTCAAGTCCCTGGCGTGTCATTCTGCAGAGAGCTGTCTTGTTCACTAGCTGTCAGCAACTAGAGAAACGGAAGGGACTGGCTGAGGCATAATTAGAGTCAAGTAACCCGCTCCTCCTGGCTGGTGACCAAGAACAGGCACAGAGTTTGAACAAGCACCCGAGTTTGAATAGAGAGGTCAGATTTGTGCTCGGCCACAGCGAGTGTTGGGGACAGGATGGGGGGACCCTGGCTTCCAGCTTCTCCCGGTTAGCTGATTCCACTGCCTGCCAAGACCTTGGCTGTCATTCAGTCTCGGGCCTACCTTCCCTCTGTGCTGTGCACTGCGCTGCTATGATGCTTGGTGCAGAGCCTTCTGCATCCCGCAGCAGCGATCAGCTCCATTGTGGACAAAGAGAGGTGCAGGGCAGGGGTGGCTTGCCATAATGCATGGCCAGGTGTAAAACTCTGGCAGGGCCTAAATCAGACAGCAGAGCTCAGCAATGCTTGCTGCATTTTTGAGAGAATAGCTAAAGCCTGGGTGCTGGTTGAGCTTTGCAGTTTCCTTGGTGTTTGGAAACCATGGTCCCGTTAGGTCAGCAACCCTGTGTTCAGCTGGGACTCCAAAGGGTTGTGCAGCATGGCAGGGAGGGTTTCCGATGCAAAATGCTGAAATCTCTGAGGGCAGAGGTGGCTAAGAGTGGAAGTGTGCTGGAAGGGGGGGCAGGAGGCTGTTTGGCAGGGGGAAGACAAGTTGCCCTTACTGAAGTGTGGAAGGTGGGATGGATGGGATGGACAGCCTGAGCTCCTGCAGTCGGTGGAGAGGAAGGGGCAGCTCTGTAGCGCCATTCACTTCTCTCTGTTAACTGTAGAGGGAGCCTGGACATCTCTGCCTGCTCTGGCTGTCCTGAAGCTTAGCGAGTTGAATCCCACCCTAGCAGATGCTGCCCAGCATGGTTTTTTCTGTGTAAGCCCAGTGCATAGCATTTCTGCCTAGCCCCTAAGTGGAAGACCAGCATCCCAGTACCGTGCTTGGGATCTTGCTGTGGTGTTTGCTGCTTGTGTGAATTCAAAGGCTCACTGTACAGCAAGTGGCATCAGAACAGCTGGTCCTAAGCTTTACACGTGGGATTGCACCAGCGGCATCGGGAAGGTTGCTGGGTGTGTGGAGGCCAAAAAGGGGGTATCGTGGCCATTCAGCTAACGCCAGGGCTTCCTTCCCTTCCTTGGTCCCGTCTGTTGTGGGTGTGCTCTGAGCTGGGCTGGCTGGCAGTCTGTGCGCAGCACTGCAGTGGCTTTGGTGGGCCCGGTGCAACCCTTCATCCCACAGGTGCCCAGCCGCGTGTGGGCTGTGGGCTTACCAGGCAGGCAATAGGTATTTGAGCTTCCAGGACAGCCTGGGGGGCGCAGCAAAAGAGGTTACGGTGCCCCTTTCATCTCTACTCATGTCTCCCACCTTTCTGCTGTAGGTGGATTTGATTGACTGGGTTGATAACATGTGGCCCAGACACCTGAAGGAGAGCCAGACAGAGTCTACAAATGCTATCCTGGAGATGCAATATCCAAAGGTGCAGAAGTAAGTGACTTCCTGAGCTGTTCCAGTGGTGGCAGGCAGCAAGGCATCTCTTGCAAGAAAACTACCCAAGGGGCAAGCGGGAGGAACAGTCTCCCTGTTTATTTCAGTGGGTGACACTTGTAAGGACACTGCAGTTAGTATTTAAGCCCCTGCCGAACGCTGTGTGGAATGGTAGTCGCGTGGCTTCTAGGGGCTCGCTGCGCTTTGGGGAAACTCTTGGTGCTCACCACCTTGAGACACCTGGAGTCGGCTGAGCTGCCAGGCGCTGCCCATCCTGCCCTGTAGGCCAGACGGGTGACATGGGGGTTTCTAGAGCTGCCGGGTGTTTGAGGATGAAAGCTCTCCTCTTACCTGGACTAGATCTTTTTGTGGGGATGGGATATAAATGCAAAGTGAGCTCTCCTGCAAACCACCACCTCCCTGCAGCTAAAGTGCTTAGCACTGCAGTAATTGGCTTCTGGCACTGCTCTGAGCCACCGGCCTGGGTTTGGGCAGCCCATTCCCTTTGAACACATTGTATCTGTTCTAAAATGTGGATCGCCACTCACTTTCACCTTATCGTCATCTTGTTTTCTGCCAGATACTGTCTGATGAGTGTCAAGGGCTGCTACACAGATTTCCACGTGGACTTCGGTGGTACTTCTGTGTGGTACCACATCCACCGAGGGGGAAAGGTAGGAGGACAGTCCCTGTTGGGAAAGCTACAGATGCTTTAGGGGAGTGGCTTTTAGTCTATTCTCTTGTCAATCCTTGAAGATGCAGGTCCCAAACAGCAAATTGAAGTCTTTCCACCCTAAACTTGTTTCTCTGTGGTTCTTGGAAGTAGTTCAGGCCCTCAGATGTCCACCAGGCACAGGCTGAAAACCCATGCTGTAGAGATGATGCTGAGACAACCTTATAAAAGGCTAAATGACAGAGTAGAATAATCCAATTCGTCCATGCCTTGGGCTTCTGAGAGATCATTTGGCTACGTGGCTGATCACCTCTTGGTGTGGCACAAATAGCACACTGGGAGCAGCAGCAAATGGAAGAAAGGTAATTAAAGATGAATGGGAGCCTCTCCTAAAACTAAGCTGTTCAGGGGTTTTAAATAGCCAGCAGATGTGTGAGGGGTCACCTTAAAACATCAAATGACTGCAAAAGCAGAAGCATTTGAACTGAAGAGTAGTGACAGGTCTTCACTGCAAAATCCTTGAATGGTTGTTTCTGGTGAGAAGTAGCTCTGAAACAGTGTCAGATGTGAGCTGCTTGTCTGGGGTCACTTCTGTAGCTGAGCTCAGCCCAGGACACGAAAACTGAACCCCAGCCTCCATCAAGTTTGAGTTTGTGTGGTTACAGACTTCATCTGAGTGCAATGTTTGTTCCCTCATGGGTGGCTTCCAGTTACAACTGTGCAGGGATTTCCCTGTACCAGGCATCCATCACCCCAGCTCTGTGTTGTACTGGGGTCTGGCTTGGAAGAAATCTGTCTGGAAGGGGATCTGGGAAGGTGCCAGTCCTTCCACTTGCCCATAGGCAGGATGAGTTGCACCTTAAGCTCCCCTTACAGGTGGGGATGTTGTATTTGTTCTCTTAACTGTCAGAAAACAGATTTGTAATAGTTTGGGTGCTGTATCACTGAAGGGGCTAAGCTAGTACTTGAACAGTTAAGTCAGACACCCTAGCTAGCAATTCCACTGCCCTAGAGAGCACAGTCATGTTCAGAGCATGACACTTAGTCAATATGAAGTCCTTGCTGGGAAAACCTCCCCTCTGACTGCCGTTGGATGGAAGAGCTTGTATTCAAGCTTTTGCTAGCTGCAGTTGTCAGCTCTACTGTAGTCAAGGAAACTTTGCACTGGTGCAGAATTTACCAAAGGCTGGTCCCACCTCTTGCCCAGTGAAATGCACCTAGCTCCTAACTTAATCCTTGTGAGCGATTGGAAGAGACTTCACTGCTTCTGATTAAAAAAAAAAAACACAAAACATCAGCCATCTAGGGCTGAACTCATCAAGGAGCCAGGAGGTAAAAAAGGCTGCCTGTGGTGGCTGGACATCTCCTGGGAAAGAGCCTTGGACAGCCTTAGGATAGGGAGCCCTTCCGCTTGTAACTGCTGCGAAGGAACTGGCCAGCTGATGGCGGCTGGATGGATTCCCTCCACAGACAGTAAAGGCAGATCTCTAGGAAAAAACTCTTCACTTCTTTAGGACAAGTCCTGGGCAATTATTCCATCCCATCTTTCTCCACTGACTTAGACTAGTTTCAGGAAAGGCAGCAAACTCTGCCCCACCTGAAGAATCTGGGCTTTTCACCCACCTTTCCTTGCAAAGGAGATGTAGCTGCCAGACTTCCCCAGCGATTCTGATGGTTTGTGGCTCCAGTGCTTTCCCCCAGAGGATGAGCTAACGGTCTCTGAAGAGCCTAGTTGGGGGTGGATATCTGCATGCCACCTGTATTGCATGGAGCCAGACAGGTGCAAACCTCTAGTTCGGTTGTAGCTCTTGCTAACATGACAGAAATGCACAGGTAAATATCTCCTTTGTCTCTAATACTCTGGTGTTTTCAGCGGGCACTCTATCTCTTGATGCTGATGTTGTAAATAATGCCTTCCAAAACATCCCAAGCTCAGTCTACCTGTGGCGCTCAGTGCGTCAGGTCGCGAAGGACCTTGTTCAGCAGCTTGCCCTCTCAAATGGGGCAGCTGTTTAGGTCACTTTAGTGGGAATTTCTGCAGATTTGCATCCTCTGTGGGTGGGGAGAGGAAGAGATTTAGGTGTCTGGAGAGGGAGCAGGGCGGGTTTGGAAGAAGGAGGGGGTAGTCAGTCGCTGTTAATTATGTGATGTCTTACATACATGTGTCGTCTTTACTTGCAGATCTTCTGGCTGATCCCTCCTACACCCCAGAACCTGGAGCTCTATGAAAACTGGCTTCTCTCAGGGAAGCAGGGAGACATTTTTCTTGGGGACAGAGTGTCAGAGTGCCAGCGCATCGAGCTCAAGCAGGGCTACACATTTGTCATCCCCTCAGGTACCACAGGGTGGGCAGGCGCATCCTGGCCTTTGCCAGGGTTGTGGCAAGAGGCTGAAACTCCTGGGACACAAGCAAAATCGGAACAGGCAGGATTTAGCTTCCTCCCTCATGAGTAACTAGAAGAGGGAGGTGTGATGTGGCTCTGTCCTCTTGCTTGCCAGCTCCCAAAACATGCCTGTCATGGCACTGTGGATTCAGCCCAAGCGACGGGAAAGCTGTGGCTGGCTCACATCACGCTTGATCAATTATTAAAGGAGGCTTTCCCAGTGCCCGTCATGTTCACATGCGGAGCAGTGCACGTTGAGGACAGAGGCTGGCCCAAGGCAGCACAGCTCCTCAGCTTCCTGGGTCTCTTGTGAAATCTCTGCAGAGTTATGTTCAAATTGTGAAGCAAGGAAGGGGGAGCCAGTGTGTGTGAGTTTAAGGAACGAGGTGACTGCTCTGGACGCAAGGAAAGACAATCGAAGTCTGCATGTACTGGAGATAGGAGAACGGGAAAGCGTGTAGCTAGAAGTGGATGTTGGAAAATCCTGAAACCCAATAGGGAGCTGGGAAGCAGTAACATGGAGAGACTTGCAGGTAACTGCTTTGCAGAGGGCTTGGGCAAGGAGACTTTGAGGTTGGGAGTGGGAACACTCTCAAGAGTTAAGAGAAATCTTTAGCCTGACTTGGTTTAGCAAGCAGAATAATTGGAGGGCATCAGCAATGTCTTGCATGCACAGTTAGTACAGTGCTGTGCTAGAAAACAGCAAAGGCAGAAGAGACAAGGCAGATGAAAAAGCAGCTCAAGGTGGTTGTTTGCGAGGACTGGCTCACAGCCTTTTAGAACCTGTGATGGAGACCTGGGATGTCTGTAAAAAGTGCTTGCACTAGGGAATATTCCCTTGCAAGGAGAAAGATTCTTGGACCCCTTTGAAGGCTCCTAATAAAACTGTTGCAATAAAAACTGTGTCCGTAAGACTGTCTCGGATGTCAAAGGCTGCTGTAACCTGCCACTCCATCTGCAGCAGCAGCGTAGGAACAAGCTGCGTTGTAGCTTACAGCGGGACCAGGAACAGAAAACACCAGGGATTGCACAAGTTACTCATTTGAGTCCTGTTACCACAACTGACGCTTCTTTTGAATTGAGTGGCCTTGCCCTAAGGAAACCCATGCTGGAATTCCCGAAATGTTGGGCTTGTCTGGATTGCTTAACCTTGGAGATAACAGAGCTGGGACTTGAATTACTTTGAGGGTTTTTCAATTGTTGAACAGACTTTGGAAGACTGTTTTCCTTGTTGCTGGTCTTCTTAGGCCTAGAAACTAGAAAGCAACTTTCCAGAGACATCAGGATGACAAAAAGCTATGGACAGGAGGTGGATACTGGCACATGTGCCACCATGGGAGGATGTGAGGCCAGATCCACGGGTGTATTTAAGTGCCTAAGTACAAGTCTGTCTCTAGCTCTTAGATGGGTCAAGTGAGCTGAGTATTGAGTAATTCAGTAGTGACACTTTGAGAGGGGTGGACATTGTTGTTGCTGTAGCACAGCAATGTCTGCCTTCCTCAGAGAGCTGGAGTCTATGTGGTCCCATCCTAGCCCCCCACTGCTGCTAGGGCTGGCTGTTGTGACAAGGGGTCAATAGCTAGTCTGCGTGTTTGCGGCTAACCTGGATGCAGGTTAAGGGTGCAACTGTCAGGGTGGACTTAGCTGAGCAGCGTGAAGGTCGTGCATATTTGACAGCCCTGCTCTGAAGAGCACAGTTCCTAAGAGATTGCAAAGGGATTGAATTAGTAGGGACTGTCAGTTGTGAGACCTTGACCTCACCTAGTCACTCAGGAGGATTCTTCAAGCTCTGCTTTCTCTCTAAGGTTGGATCCATGCTGTGTACACTCCCATGGACACGCTGGTTTTTGGAGGCAACTTCTTACACAGCTTCAACATCCCTATGCAGCTCCGGATCTACAGCATCGAAGACCGCACGCGGGTAAGGACCTGCGGGAGAGCTGGAAGGATGTGGCCTCCTGGGATGGTGGGGAGGGCGCAGCCAGGAGCGGTGGTGTGCAGGCAGGCAAGTTGAGTCTCGCCCTGTCACAGATTGCTCAAACTCCAGCTGTCTGTAAACGAGATGTCCTAGCCTGCTAAATGTACAGGCAGGAACTTGGGCAGAGGGGCAGCCTGCAATGTGCACTAAGGCTTGTTACGTTCCTTTGTGCTGCCTCCAGTCTGACACCAGGCTTCCGAGGGGTCTGGAAACCTTGCTGTGAGTCTGATGGGGACCTCCCCTGGCTGCCTGAAGAGGAAGGCAGCAGCATGTCCATGGGAGTGCATCCAGCGTGTTGCCTCTTCCCTTACCTGGCTGCCTTCTGCTGCTGCTTGGTGTTGATCTTAGACCTTGATGTGGTCCAAGATGACTAAAACTAAAGACTTCCTGAGGTCTCGAGCAGAGAATGCTGTTGGCAAGTGGGTGTTCTCGCTTGCTCCTTGTGGAGACATGGGTCCTGCAGTGCTCAGCACCTGCAGAGAAGCCTCAGGACATGCCTGGGCTGAGATGGACGGACTATTGGCCTCTCTGAAGCAGTTCACAGGTCCTCCCTGCTGCAGCACCCTGAGTTAGCACTCGTGTCAGACCATCATCCAGAGCAGCTGAGACATACGTAGAATGATGGAGCGTGTTCCTGCTCCACCCTGGGCAGTGTAGCCTCGGGAAGGTGTGAGGCAGGCAGCAGGGTCAGTGGCATCTTCTGCCTGCGTGTGAATTGCCGGCGCTGATGTGACAGATCCCTGATAGCACTCTGCTAAATAGCTGAGCTGGTGTCCTGGTTTCTCAATAGACCAGCCCTTTCCCTCGCCCCGTACAAATACTGTCAGATGCTGTGCTGGAGCTTGGGAAGAGGGCTTGAACCATTACCTTCAACCAAAAGCTTTTGTGGCATCTGCTGCTTTTTTCTTCTACTAATGAGAAGGAGGTCTGTGGGGGAAGAGCTGCAACCCTAACAAAGAAAAATGAAATGCTAATGGCTTGCAAGTGAGTAGTGCCTGGTCTCTGCTCTGCCTGGTGATAATATTCTTCTGCAAGGAGAATTACATCAGGCTGCCAGAAGCATGAATGATGCTGTTAAACACGTACATGCGTTTCCTGTCTCTCAGGAGGGGATCGGTCTGGTTTGAGGCAGCAGTAATAAGAGCAATCTCTGTGCAGCCCTGTGGTGAAGGAGGCCTGAGCTGATCCCCTTCCCCTTGCCTCTTTTGCAGGTCCCAAATAAGTTTCGTTATCCCTTCTATTACGAGATGTGTTGGTACGTGCTGGAGCGCTATGTCTACTGCATCACTAGCCGCTCACACCTGACCAAGGACTTCCAGAAGGAATCGCTCAGTATGGGTAAGCCCGCTGCGTTGGCTGTCCAGCCCTTATTCCTTCCTCACCCGTATTGAAGCGCTTTCTGGCACCCTCCTGCTGGGGTACTGTCTGGCTTAGCAGCGTGGCGGGCAGGGGAGGGCTGTGTGGGAACAATTTGGGACCATCACTTCCTCAATTTCACAAGGTGGTTTCTTTGGGTATTTCCTCCCTCTTCGCTCTTTGCTGTACTGAGCAGTTGGAGGGCGTTGCAGGCTGGACGAAGCAGGTGCGATTTTATTTCTTTTCTTTTGAGCAAGAAGTCAAAACTAGCCAGACTTTTGCTTCCTCCTTTGCCCCTGCAACAGGCCAGGTTCCTTGCAGCTGCAAAACCAGCACACAAGTTCCTGGCCTTGCTGGTACACGCAAAGCCTTTAACAGAAGAGGCGGAGGGAAGTTGCAGTAACCACCGCTGTGCTGTGAGCTTGCGGGGCAGTAATGCTTTCTCGCTGATCAGGGCCTTCCTGCACGCAGAGTTTAAAGTGCTGTCAAAGTTATGTGCAAGGGAGCGCAGGGAGTCTCTTGTAAAAGGAATGTTTGGCTTCCTTACAGCCAAGGCAAGTGGGGCCTGAGCAGTGGTTCAAGAGATGGTTTCTTACAGAGACTCTTCAGAGTCGGAGAGAGGTGGATAGCCTCCACCCAAGGCCCTTGAACCAAATCTGTCCTCACTCTCCTAAGAGGCTGTAAATACTGACTCCTGGGCACCTCTCCTCACAGCAACAGCCTCTTTGGGGCTTTCGACTTCAGTCCAAGGGGCCCTAGCAGAGGGATGCAGCTCCCAGCTCTTGTCCTTTTCCTGTGGTTCTCTGGAGATCTCCCTCAGCACTTGGTTTGGGAAAGGCTGTCTCTGTCCTCCTCCTGCCTGGAGGCCTCCAGTGCCTTCATCGCCTTTTCTCTACCACTGAGCAGCGTGAAGTGGGAACTAGTGCACAGAGCTGAAAGGAAGGGAGCAGGAGAGCCCTCTTCCCTTTTACTGTCAGAGAAGGGTGCTTTATTGTGCACAATCAGGCTTAGAGACCTCACGGTCATCTAGTGAGTCCACATCCTCTTTCTCCTATCACAAAGGCAGGGTCAAGGTCTCAAGTCACTCGCAGGACCAGATGGCTGGAGATCCCAAGCCCTCCAAAGCAAAGTTATGTTGGATGGGGCTTTGAGCAACCTGATCTAGTGAAAGATGCCCCTGCCCATGGCAGGGGGGTTGGACTAGATGATCTTTAAAGGTCCCTTCCAACCCTAAACCATTCTAGGATTCTATGAAATTCAGTCTAGGGTGTTGCTGTCTCCTCCTCTGGGAGGTTTTCCCATATCCTGTGCCTTGCCTTTCCACAAAACGAGCCAGGAATGGGAAAGGGTTCTAGCTGTTCTTTTCTAGCCGCTATGTGCCCCATCGTTTCCTCTCGCCTTGTCCCCGTACATATCTGTTGCTCCAGCATCTCTGGTAACTGGGGGGGATTCCTCTAGAGACTGAACACCTCCTGCGAGTAGTTGTCTGGCCGCTGTGCTCTTCTCTCACTCTTTCTCCGTCATGGCAGATATGGAGCTGAGCTCCTCGGACTCGGTAAACATGGAAGAAGAGGAGGAGGAGGAAGAAGAGGAGGATGCAGCAGGGAAGGAACCCAGGCGACCGGTCACAAGGCGGTCCATTCTCACCAGCCCCATAGCCAACGGTGCCAATGTGGACTATGATGAACTGGGCAGGAGCTGCCGGAGCAGCCTGCCAGGTCTGAAGAAGACCCCATCTATAGACTCTTCTGACTCCAGCCGGGGCTCCCAAAATGGCCAGGCCTGGGACCCGAACAGTGGCAGCCCACGCAAGAGCAGGAAGGTGCACCTGACGCAGTTTGAGCTGGAGGGGCTGCGCTGCCTCGTGGACAAACTGGAGTCGCTCCCTCTGCACAAGAAGTGCGTTCCCACCGGCATTGAGGATGAGGACGCCCTCATCGCTGACGTCAAGGTACGTAGGCGTGAGGGAGCCGCAAGTGCTGCTGTTCCTTGGGGCTGCCAGGGCGCCTCCACTTTCTTGCGGCATTGGAGGTGGAAAGGCATTTCACCACAGGGAAAGTGCTTGGCCCTGACCTTAGCCCCGTCCTGGGGCAAGGGAGTGATGTGTCTGCAGGCTTGGTGTCCTTTCTCTGCATGAGGCTAATGTTACACCAGCTGATGCTGAGGGACAGCCCTGGCTTGGATTTTTGGGTTGGGGCTAGCAAGAGCAGTAACTGCTCCCAGCCAGCGTGGCTGAGACTGCTCTGGGGACCCTCTGGGCCCTGTCTGGGTCCCTTACGGGTGTCAGTGCAAGAGTGCTTGTTGTGCGATACAGTTCGTTTCCAGTTCTGGCTGTGGACTCCTTGGGCTGCTGGACACTGTGACAGTTGGAGCCCTTTACTTGCCCCAGGTGGATTTGGCGTTGTTTCTTTGGGTTGTTTGCACAGGATGTGACCTTAGGTTATGAGAGTCTTGTTTTTTCTTCCGCCCCACCCTGCTTTACACCATGAGCTTTATCTGCCAGACCTGTTGAGCTGACTCCATGAGCTTTGGTGTTTTAGCCCTTTCGGCACTGAATTGAGAATGCCAGCCTCACTCTATTCCCCAGAAGTCCATTTTAGTCCCTAAAACCACACTTTGTGCTCCCTTCCTTGCTGATGGTGATCTGTTCAGCTGCTTGCCTGTACCGAAGCTGACATCCAGACACAACCATGGGTGTATCCTGGTCTTTGCCATCATGTTTCTTTTCCAAGCGCTGTCTCCTGATTTTTTCTTTTTTTTTTTTTTTGGGTGGGTCATTTGGTGAAACCGGCGCTCTTCTCCGTTTGGAGCAGAGGGCGCAGCTCCGGCGTCCCAGGGTGGGCTGTCGTTTGCAGGCCGAGCTCTGGTGGAGCTTGGCTGAAGGAGTGGGAGTAGGTGCTGTTAGGGGGCTGCACTTCTGGTTTCCTGTGGCTTTTTCAAGTGCGCTGTCTGTGCCGTGGCCTTCAAGTACGCAACGCGTGTGTTTCTGAGCCACGGCGGTGGGGTGGCCCTCAGCCTTACCACAGACCATATGATGCTCTGAGCTGTGAGCGCAGCATTTCACCCTTGGACTGAGAAAGGGACGCTGGTGTCACGTGTTGGGTGTTTGAAGGCAGAGCATTCCAGATTGTCGGTGTTCAGCTGGCTTTTGAGACCTGTTCAAAGGACCTGTTACGGTCTGGAGCTAACGGACATGTGCCTATGGTTTTGATGTGACCCACCAGCCCCCGTGTCCGGTTGTACCTCGCAGATGAGCTGCGGGTGAAAGTCCCTGCAGTCCAGTCAGAGCAAACAGCTTCCCTGAAGGACTTGGTCCTTAAAGCTGGCTGTCGTCTGGGGTTCAGAAGTATCCTGAGCTGTAGGACTCTGTCCCTCGGGACTAGCAGCCTCCCAGGTAAAGCCTGTGCTACATGGCATCCTCAAGGCATGAAGATTCTTAGTCATCAGACTGCAGTGGCTGGAGAAAATAGGGCAAGTTTGTCAAACTATGGCAAACCTCTACTTTCAAAACGTACATTGCTCCTTAGAGATGATGGAACTGGCAAATGTAGGTTGGCTTATAAATCCTGGAAAGGGGTAAGACATTTTGTAGCTAAACCTTTTAACTGGTCTGGTCACTGAAAAGCCCGATGAGTGAAGGGCTGACTTTAAATATCATCAGCTTGTATGGAGAATACTTCTTTTTTATATATTTTTTTTTTTAAGCTTGGTAACAACTTCTCCTGCCTAAGAGGCATGAAGTGGCCATCCATGCATCTGTAACTCATGATGTGGGATACAGATCCTATTTCAGTCATGTTTCCTGTGTAGGCTTCGGTATAATTCCCTCTTCTAATAGCTTTTGTGTTCTTGCACAACTGTAGCTGACTCTCCCAGAACAGAGCCCTACTGTGGCTGTGTGCAAGTGCAGCCCTTCACTTTGCCGGTCTTGTTCTGATGCTCCTGCTGTCCCTCGCAGCTCTTGGAGGTGTGATCCATGTGGGATCCCTCATGCTGCACCCTAGACCCGGATCCCTTCCGTTCATCTGCTATTTCTCTTTATGTGCTAGTGAAGAACTAGAGCCTACTCCATTTTCAGTGACTTAAGCTAGACGGAAGAGCATACGTCCTCCACAGCATCTTAGCCTGATTCTGGGGCCATCGATCTGCAGCAGGCACTCTTATGCTTACGTCACCAGGTGAGGTCATTAATGGACCTGGGATCTGGCCAACAGGACCGTTGGGAAAGACCTGCTCTAGAGAAGCGCAGAACCAACGTGTTTTCAGCGCTTGCCAACTTTGCTGCCGTCACTATATACCTGTCTTCCAGTTAGGCAGACACTGTGTTGTGGAAGGCTTTCATGGCTGTGGCCTGCATGTTTATTTGGTCTGTCTGCCACCCAGTATCAGAACACGGTGTTTTCTCACCGTAGAGCCCAGACATGCAGGTAGTGACCTGGCACCTCGATCCGCCTGTCAGATCAAACGTCCTACCACGCTTCCTGCCACCCTCTGCTAACCAGTGTCCCCAGGCACACGGGAGCAGGCACAGAGCAGGAAAATGCTGCCTTTTCCCACAGCCTCTTGTGTGGTGATCGTGACTTCAGGATGTCTGTATGTTGGGTCACGTGAAGAAATATGCTTCTGTATCCTGTCATGAGTTGAGCCTGGAGCCATCACATGGTGGGACACGATGCTTTGGATGTGACAAAGATGTGCTTCCAGCTCCATGGCAGGAGGGGATAGTCCATCCGCTGAGACTCTGTAAACCCATCCTAGACAAGGCTGCTTGGGGCATCTTGAATAGGAAGAGCATGTTGCCACTTCTGCCTCTCCTTAACCTTTCTAGCTTTGCCTGTCTCCCTTGGAAAGCTCCTGGCGACACCACATCGCTGCCTTCTGAACTGGTGACTGAGAGCTGCTCTCCAGTGGCTTAAATGGGAGGGCACACAGAAGTCAGAAGGGCTTCTAGCACTGCCTCAGGAGAAGACCTGCCTTTGCGAAATGAGATTGTGAACACGTTGCCTTGTAGCACTGATGTCTTACTGAAAAATCTCCATCCATTTGGTGATGCCTCTGTGCATGGTCTGGACTGGAGGCATTGGAAAGATCATTGGCAAAGAGGGAACTGCTGAGGGGTCCCGTTGTCTTTTGACTGCTTATGTCCATCGCTTCTGACCCCTCTTGGGGTGTGCTGCTTTCCCTCATTTAGGCTTCAGAGGAGCAGGACGGTCCATGAGGTTCTGGCTTAAGAGCTGTCAGACCTCCTGTTGGCTGACTTGTGGGGAGCTGAGCCCACATCTGAACCATTTGCTTGCTGCAGTGCCACCAAGCCCTGCGGCCTCGGTAACTGGCACAAATGGGTTATATTTGGGCTCTGTGTGGAGGTGTTGGAGCACCAAGCATTGTAGAAACAAGAAGAGCCTCTCCCAGAAGTGTGAATCCTGTCTCCCGGAACTCATCTCAAAGCCTCTGGTCTGGCATTGCCCACGTACCTGGCTCTGTGTTGTGCTGGGTCTCCCCAGGATCAGAGATGTCTCTTTGCTCCTCTACAAATGCATGTTATTCTTCTTGTCTGCCTGGCCTGCTCCTCCTGTGGGTCACATCTGCCTGAAACATTCCCTGTGCCTCGTGCTCTCCTTTCCCTGCCCCAGCAAATCTGCCAGCTGGAATCTGCTTTCCCAAGACAGTTTGTTTCTCCAGATGCTCGTGTCTAAGAGAAGCAGCGAACATGTCAGCTTGCTGAAGCCCAGGGGATGTAAAAGCACCGATGAGTGCGCCTGGGAGGAGTGAGTGGTCTCAGGGCACTCCAGTCCCTCTCCGTGCCTGTGGGAAGAGTGCGCACAGTCCCCCATTTGCTGCAGGGCAACGGGACACAGAGAGGACTTGGTGAGGAACAAAAGCTGCTTCCACCAGGGATGGATGAGGAAGGCCAGGGTGGCCTGTGAGCTGTGCCAAAAAGGTCCCCCCTTGGTGGGATGGCAGCACTGGCCATGCTCCTGCCTGCGGGTCAGATGAGACTAAACCGCAATGTGAAGTGCTGAGCTCCCCTCCCTGTGGGTGTGCCAGCGGTGCGGCGTTCACGAGATGTCTGACACTTCCATGGTCGCTGTCCAAATGGACCAAATGAGAGCGCTGCAGCCTGGAGCACGTGGGGCCAAAGACCCCTCTGCCATCCTGCCTGGCATCACCTCAGCACGCCATCTGATGTGCTTGACCTTGGCAACATGACAGAGAAGCCACCCTGTACATCCTCCACGCCGGGCCAAACCGTACTGCAGGGCTGGACATCCCCAGTGCAATGCAGACGGTGGGATCTGTGGAGAGCCTGTGCCGGGGGCCTGAGGGTGTCATTGGAGGTTCAGGTGGTGACAGTCCAGGTGTCTGGTCAGTGTGGCCCAGTGGCTTCCTGGGCTCTCCAGGGGCAGGAGAGACAAAAGCTGAGGTTGTCTGCAGATGCTTTGGCTGCACCAGGAATGGGAGCAGTCATTGTTCTCCAGTGCTGCTCTGGGGAGCTTGCTTTATTTCAAGAGTTTCCTCCATTTTAATTGCGGTGGTCTGGAGCCAGGGTGGGGAGGGTCTCGGGGAGCTGGGGCTGGCTGGGGAGACCTTGCTTTACCCGCTATGGGTTTGTCCCCCTCTAGTGGTTAGGTCACCGGTGGCTTTGGGACTACAGCTGCTCCCGGTGGGGAGGCCGGGTGCAGTCCCTGCAGCCCCTACATTTCAAGGGGCTCATCCCACTTGCCTTGATTTAAAAGCCCCTTCTCCCTGCTCTCATCAGTGGTGTCTCCTAGATCCAGGTGGGTTCGGCTTCCAGCAGGAACCCCCAAAACCGCCTTGGAGAAGACAAAAGAAAGGTGTCGGGGAGGCTGGGCACGAGCGGGGCTGGCGGGCCGGGGTGAGGGCTCTCTGCCGCGCTCTCCCCAGCCTGCCCCGGCCCTGGGGAGCCTGGCCCCGGCGTCTCCGATTGCAGT